CCCCCCCCCAAGAGCCTAGGCATAGCTGACAGACATTAAAAGGCTACAGATGTTCATCGGCGAGATGGGATGCTGGCTCGTTGTGCTTGGTTCGTATATCTACCGCCGTTATGTCTTGCGTTCGTCGGAATACCACTCCCCCCTTCTTGCAGGCGGGTACCACCCCGTCCAGACGGACGACGCCGAGGTCGACGGGGACGACAACGAGGAGGAGGACGATGCGCATATTACAAATGGCAATGGTGGTCAGGAAGGGATCGAGGATGATCACACGAAGCCGGTTCGTACCGTGCTCCGCGGATGGAAGATCTTCTTGCTGGCGATGCCCTCGTGCTGCGATATCGCGGGGACAACCCTCATGAACGTCGGCCTGCTGTTTGTCGCTGCGAGCATCTACCAGATGACCAGGGGGGCGCTGGTGCTCTTTGTCGGTCTGTTCAGCGTCCTGTTCCTACGCCGCAAGCTGCACATCTACCAGTGGCTGGCCCTGTGCATTGTTGTCCTCGGCGTCGCTGTGGTCGGGCTCGCGGGCGCGCTGTTTGGCCACGACTCGTCGACCGAGGCCACCACCACTACGGTCACGCAGCCGCCCGAGGCGGTGCAGGCCGTCATCGGGGTTCTGCTCATTGCGGCCGCGCAGATCTTCACCGCCACGCAGTTCGTCCTGGAAGAATGGATCCTGGAGCACTACGCGATGGACCCCTTGCAGGTTGTCGGATGGGAGGGCATCTTCGGATTCTCGGTGACTTTCGTGGGCATGATCGTCATGTACTTTGTTGTCGGCCGCACGCCTGCAGGCCAGTACGGCTATTTCGACCTGCGAGAGGGCTGGCGCGAGGTTCACAATCCGGCCGTCGCATGGTCTAGCTTGGCTATTATGATCAGCATTGGGTATGTATTCTGCAACCAACTCAATGGATTCACTCCCTCTATTCCCCAACTAACAATATCTAGGGGCTTTAATTTCTTCGGTCTGTCCGTCACCCGCACCGTCTCGGCCACCTCGCGCAGCACCATTGACACTTGCCGCACGCTCTTCATCTGGATTGTCTCGCTCGGACTGGGCTGGGAGTCTTTCAAATGGCTACAGGTTCTCGGCTTCGTCATGCTCGTCTATGGCACTTTCCTGTTCAACGACATCATCGCGCCCCCTCTCAAGGCATGTCTGCCTAGTCACCTGCGCGAGGGCGAGGTGCTCTTGCCTGAGGAGCCGATTGAGCATATGTAGTGTATACACTTGGTATAGCAGCAGGTATTTGTTAAGGATACTTTCTTTACTGTAGTTTGATTAGTTGGTTGTTTGTATACAGTACACTGCCTAGCATCCTACTTCATTGATCAATATGATAACTATCAAGCTTGTATAATCTATTAAAGGACTAGTTCTATCTATACTAAAACATATAAAGCACACATCTGGATTAGTTAGTAGAGAATAGCCAAATCCTGGTCTGGAGGGATACTTACCATGGATAATCCCAGAATCATAGAACACCAGAAGAAGACATTCTAGAAAAGGTTAGTATAGTGAAACAGGACAGGGGAAAAAGATGGGACCAAGGAAAAGGAAAAAAATACATTGAATGTGGTCTTCCCCCTGAAGAATTTAGACTGCTGCACCGCAACAATAGGGAGCTGTAGCATCATGGCAAGAAAGCCGTATCCGCGGAGCTTCTTGGTGATGCAGCTCATGACAAGCTCGTGCGCGATCGAGCTGACGAGGAAGGTGATGAACATGGCGATGGACTGGGAGAAGCGCGCTTTGCAGGGGAAGTAGACGTGGCGGCGGAGAAAGTGATGGACGGGGATATTCCATTCGCGGGAGAACTCGAGCCTAAAGGGGGG